TAGCCTTCTGGCAGCCAGCAACATTTCCTGAATTGAAAGTTTCGTGGATTCTTCCTCCGGAGTTAAAACTTTAATTTTTTAAAAATGCATTTAATAATACAAGTTTAAATATTGCCAAAGACAGGAAATGCCTCATCTAGTTAAAAGATTGTGCGTGTAGGGGGTGCGTGTGCATTCATGTGCACGTACAAATGTGCGTGTATGTGGTGGCCAGAGGTCAATGTTGGCTGTCTTTCTCAACTGCTTTCCACCTTATTCTTTGAGACAATACCTCTCACTGATCCTGGGGCTAGAGTGGCTAAGCCACCAAGCCCAGGATTCCTCCTGTCTTTAGCTCCCAGCTGCCAGGATGCTGAAGCGCCTGGCTTATTACGTGGGCCCTGGGAATCTAAACTCAAGCTCTCGTGCTTGCTTGGCAAACTCAGTTTACCAGCTGAGCTATCTCCTCAGTCCCAAAAGATGGATCTGTGAAAACATATGTGGGGCTGGAGAGATGGCTCAGCAGTGAGGAGCACTGGCTGTTCTTCCAGAGGACCCGAGTTCAATTCCTGGCACCCACATGGCGACTCACAACTGTAACTCCAGCTCCAGGGGGATCTGACATCCTCTTCTGGCCTTTGCAGGCATTGCATGAAATGGTGTACAGACATATATACAGGCAAAACACACACATCAAATAAAAATAATAAATCTTTTTTTAAAAATGTAGGTGATTGCAATTCACAAAAACACGAAGTCTCTTATTGTTTAAGACGAGAGTTCAAACTTTATTCCTTCTAAATACATTACAAATCTGCTAGCGTGTAGCCGAAAGGGGGTATGGTTATAGTTTTCTCTTTTATACATGAACCCAACTCCGTATGGAAATGCAATTGAACAAGTCAGCTCTCCCCTCATCACCTTCCACCACACCCAGGCTCACCCTATCCCCCAACACACACCCTGATCAGAAAGACGGAAAGATGGGAAAGGAGTGGATGCAATGACACACAGTGTCGGCACAATAGCCAGTTGGTTTTGATGCTTTAAATCAGAAGAATACAAGACCTCATCTGTAGCTGTGCATGGTGGTGAAAGCTTGTATCCACTATTCAGATAGTGACTCAGCATGTCCGAGGATTGCAAGCTTGAGGTCAGAGAATCCCTACCTCACAAAGCACAGCAAAATAAACTGATAGACAAGTAAGGCGGGGGAGTGCTTGTCTATCATACGCAAGTTCCTGGATTCCATCCCCATCACCAAACTGCGTAAATAAACAAACTAAAGGCACCCCTCACTCACTGTCTCTGTTTATTCTGTATCGGCTGTGTGAGGAAGATAGTATTCTCTTTCATAGCTTCACAAATGTGGAATTGGAAACGTGGCTTTTGGGAAGTATGTGTCCGTCTGCACTTGAATCCACTGTCTCGTAAAGCACCTTTGATAGCTGGCTGACCTAAAACTACACTTGGGATTTGGAACTTCTCCTAAGAGTGCACATATTTGCTCTGGTTGGGAAGCATATCCAATATAAGGATTGATTTTTAAAAACTAAAGCAAAACTATCATTTGCTCTGAAACTCTCTTTATGAACAATTTGTAGAAGCTGTTGCTATAGCTGGATGGTGGAGTACTTGGCTAGCGCACACGGGGCTGTGAGTTCAATCCTGAGTGCCTCCAAAACAACAACAATAATAATACCCCCAAACAAGCATGGGAAATGTAAGGGTGGAAATCTAGTGCACATAAAGAGAGAAAAAAAATGAGTGAGCTGACTGGCAAGAACTTCTTTAAATTATCCCCAAACTCGTATCCTGTTGTTCAGACTAACAGATCTGACTAGTGACCAGTTGTCCACATATGGAGAGTTAAGGGACTAGGATGGCTGTTTGTAGGATCACTTCATACAAACAACAGCTTGTAATGGGTTGATTAACAAAATACATGAATTCAGTGAGAGAATGATAAGTCACTGTTTATGAGTGAAACACACTGTTCTCTGTGTATTTCCTTTAAGTGGCAGTTCCCACAACGTACTTAAAGCATGACTCCACTTACAGAAATTCTATTTCAACTTAACCCATCAAGAAAGCTTCCAACTCAAATAAAACTAGGTAGAAAATGATTTCAATTTAGACTAAATTGCAACTGGTTCTTTGAAGAGATAGCAATGCCCTAAGCACAAAAGTAAGATTGCAATCTATTAGTGGAGAGAAAATTAACACATTATAAATATGCAAACATCTAGAAACAGTTAGACATAAAATACATATTGAATACTAACCAACCCTGTTGTGATATGGGTCTGGTTTGAGTGTGCTCATCGGGGCTCATGCACTGGAACCTTGACCATTATCGATAAAGCCTTTAAGAAATGGAATCATGGGAGGCAGAGACAGAAACCTCCCGAGTTCCAGTCTGTGTTAGTTACCTCCCTGTCACTGTGATAAAATACCACGACTCAAGGGCAACTGATATAAAAAAAGAGTCCACCGTGGTGGGGAGGCGTGGCATCAAGTGGCAAGCATGGCAGTACAAGCAGGAAGCAGAGGACCACATCTTCAGGCTCAAGCACAGGCCGGAGAGGGAAGTGACCTTGGGTGAGACTACCGTCAAAACTCACCCCTAGTGACAGGAGTTCTCCACAGAGAACACTTAGCTTCCAGCAAGGCTCTGCCTCCCAAAGGGTCCCCAGACAACCACACCAGCTGGGAGCTAAGTGTTCAAATACTCGAACCTATAGGAAGCATCCTAATCCAAACCACTGCAGAGTCCAACCTCAACTCGTTTGCTTCAAATGCAGAGTATTTTTATGCACAGATACTACATTATGTTGGGTCCCTGGCAGGGTGTCACAGTAAGAGGCACATGATGTTGGTTCCTCCCACAGCTTGTGGTGGTATTCTTAACCATTTGATTACAAATCTGTTCGGTGAATTTCTGTAACATACTTTTCACTTTTTGTAATTAATATGTATGGCGTGGGGGGTTATTTTGAACCTGTGTGCTGCACCTCACCAAGTGTTAGGCTTCTAGTTCTAGCATCTTTTCAGTGGTTCTTGCCTAAATTGATTGTTTTGTTGGGTAAGTCACACAATTCAGGCGCTGGAGAGATGACTTAGAGGCTTGGAGCACCTGCTGCTCTTCCAGAAGGCATGAGTTTGGGTCCCAGCATCCATATTAATCACCTCAAACTGCCTGTAACTCCAGCTCCAGGAGATCTAACATCCTCCTCTGGTATCTTTCTATACCCATACTCACATGTCCATAAGTACAAAGATACATAAATTTAAAAATAAGTCTTTAAAGTATACAATAAAGTGGTTTTAGTATTTTCATGCAGTTGTACACCCACCACCACTACTTAATTCCATTAAAACGTACTTTAGATTTCTTTCACGTGTATGAGTGTTTTGCTGGCATGAACCACAGGTCTTCTGCAAGAACAAGTGCTCTTAACCACTGAGCCATATTTCCAGGCCTCTACTCTCATTTTAAAATTACATTTCTTTGTCTGGGTGTGTGTCAGGTCTCTGCTTACACTGTGTGAGTCCTGGAGCTCAAACTCAGGCAGTAAGCTTTGGTAGCAAGTGTCGTTATCCATTAAGTCATCTTGCTGGCCCCCAATTCTACTTTCTCATCACTCGCAAAAAGAAACAATGCACCCATTAAGTGTCAGTCATCTTCCACACTTCCCTTGTCCCCCAGTTTCCAGCAACCACTAAAATAATCTGTTTCAGTTTAGCAGCTGTAAGCTGCCCAGTGTGGGTGCTGGGAACCAAACTCAGGATCTCTGAAAGAGCAGCAAGTGTTCTAACCTCTGGGGCATCTCTCTGGTCCCTGACTCTATGGACTTGCCTATTATGAGACATCTCATCTAAAAGTAGTCATGCAGCATGTGACGCTGTGTTTTTATTTCACTAACGTGTTTTCAGGGCTTGTCTAACCGTCTTGTACTTTTTAAAGAGCAATATTTTACTCTTTTTTGCATGCTGAAATTACAATGGCTCTTGGGAAATGCTGATCTAAACACAAATTTCCATCTAAACTTATGAAGATAACAGGGTTTTTTTATCACCCTTTGTCGAGTTGCTTTGAAATAAACCCGCTCCAGTTTCTTGCAGTTGAACAAGGCGTGCTCCGCTACCCTCAGCCGGATGCCAATCAGATAAGAGACTGACGACCGCCTTTCTTGGGGCGTACAGAATCTCTGCTCATTTCAAAGACCACCTTTCTCGAGGTGCACATCTTCCTTCCTTTCCATCCACGGACCACACACTAAGCGCAGGTACACTCTCTCCTCCAGTCTGCATCCCACAAGCTCCTCCCTCTCCGTCTGCCCCCGCCCCCGTCCCCCAAACCCTCCCGGGCAGAAGGAGGAAGTGACGCACAGGAAGTGCCCTGCTTCCCTTACAGTGGAGGAAGGACTCAAACTCCCAAGATGGCGGCGGCGTCTGAGGAGCGGATGGCTGAGGAAGGAGGCGGCGGCCACGGCGACAGCGGGTCCTGTTCGGCCG